GGCCAACCCGGTTGCCACTGAAGCACAAGAGGGCTAACCAGATGCTAACATGGCAAATCAAAACGCCGGGTCTCAACCCTCGGCGACCCTTGAAGCTTAAACTTATGTTTGGAAGAAATAGTCATATGTGACTTGTAATAGTTTGTGTTGAAAACTTCCGAGGGCTGCGAGAGCCATCGAGCACATCAGAAATTATCTTGAACTGATGTTAATTTGGCTTGAATGAATCCTTCGCTGTGGTTGCACGCGTCAATTTATTGTTAGTATGAATATCCTGGAAAATATCTTGCATCTTGATAAACCTTAAACAATGTGGGCATGGAGAGAAAAAGAAAACGAGAGTTTTTTTTCTAATGGGGAATAAACACCACGGACCGAACAAAGAGTTCTTATGCCACATGTCCACCATTTGCTCGCTTGTCCAGCTTTGGTCGTGAAATTGACCGATCCGATGTTTTTACTGCGACTGCTTGCAAAGAACAAAACGTACACGGACTGTATGCATCAAAATGATATAGATGCGGGGTAACCATTGTTCTCTGAATAAAGAAAAACATACGCATTTTATTCCTTTATATAATTCGGAAATAACTGACATGTTTCTATTCTGAACTAAAACCGTCCCACTTATTTCCGAAAGAAGGGAGTACTCCCTTCGTTCCAAAATAGATAACTCAATTTTATACTGGAACGGAGGGAGTAGCATTTTGTTTAAAGAAATATCGACCGGCAGTGCAAGTGGTTGAAATGGAGCTAAAAAACGCCAGGACCCGACGGCACATTCCCCATTCCCCTTATCCGAAGGCGGCTCCTCTCTTTCCCCTCTGTAAAACCCCTCGCGCAGACAGCGGCCATAGCGATGGCGTCGCCGCCAGCCTGCTCCCTCCTCCTCCCGGCCATTCCCTCCGCGCCGGCCTACGCTAGTGTCCCACGAGCACCCCGGTTCCTCACCTGCCCCCGCGCTGTAACAGCCCACCGACCCTTTCCCACGGCCTCCTCTCCTAAGGTCGCGGCGCCCGCCGCCGTCGAGATCCCAGAGGAGTACGTGGATGATGTCGAAGCGGTGAACATTGCGGTGGACGTCACTCAGGTGCGCTGTCTATTCCCATCCTGATTGTGTTCCTGCTTCGTCAGAGTGGTATGGGAGGCCACTGAAGGCATTAAGATTTTATATTATGGTTCAGGGGAATCGGGGGTTCGCTGCATTATCATGGAATATTTGGATACATTTTTCTACCTGATTAGACTGTGAACATCTTCTGTTGTCACCAAAAACATGGATTTTAAATATCAATAGAAGCATATTTTTTACTCTCTGAAGCAACCTATGTGAGATTGGGCTAAATCCCAGTCTATTCTGTCTATCTTGTTGATCAGCTAATTGGAAAGACCCCAATGGTATATCTAAATAATGTTGTCGAAGGTTGTGTCGCTAATATTGCCGCAAAGCTTGAGTACATGGGACCTTGCCGAAGCGTCAAAGACAGGTATACATCGTTATTGCACTATGTATTCGAGTGCTGTTTGTGCCGCCTCTCACTCATTATGTTTTCCAGGATTGCGTTAAGCATGATTAGTGATGCAGAAGACAAAGGATTAATTTCTCCAAACAAGGTTTGATTGTCTATATATACTAAATTTTAGAGTATTGTCACCATGAAGGTACTAAATTATGCAGATATTGTATACATTTGCAGACCATTTTGGTAGAACCAACTACTGGGAATACTGGTATAGGACTAGCTGCAGTAGCTGCTGCTAGAGGATACAAAATGATAGCAACTATGCCTTCATCGATAGATGTTGAGAGACGTATTCTTGTACGCGCATTTGGAGCAGATATCGTGTTAACTGATCCTACAACAGGGCTAAAAGGAGCTGTTGACAAAGCTGAGGAAATAGTTTCGAAGACACCGAATGCATACATGTTTCAGCAATTCAACAATTCAGCCAACAGTGAGGTTGAGACTTCGTGCCATTATCATTTACTCATACAGTCATATGCTATCTGTGACATGGCACATGTGAAATTCATTTGCCAACTTCTTTAAATGATCTATTGAGAAGCCGCTTGGGTAATTACAGATCCACTTTCAAACCACAGGCCCAGAAATATGGGAGGACACACTGGGTACTGTTGACATACTTATTGCGAGCATTGGGACTGGAGGTACCATCACCGGCACTGGGCGCTACTTAAAAATGATGAACAGAGATATTAAGGTTTCCAATCTTACTCTCTCATCAAGTTGTTTCAGGTTTTAGGAGAACTGCATTAAAATGACTATGTGTTACTGTGTCAACAACTTCACCCATTTTCTTCATACTTTTCCAATGTTGTTGCATTACATCTTAAATCATCTACTGTCGTTGGTGGATGCTCTTGTTTACACCATGATTTAACTTTGTGAAGTGCTTAATGTGAGGAGATATGCAACTTGCATTTCCTGGAGGCCAAGGTCCAGTGTAAATATACAAACTACAGGCAGAAATATACACAAACCCCCTTTATAGCAATAGTTAATATGATATCCTATACATGGAACTAGTATATGCCTACACTTGAGATCTGAGTCTTGCTCCATTGGCTAGAGGCACCCGTGCTCGCCCATCCCACCCACACGACGCCTAGCCTCCACACAGTAGGGATGCAAGCGGACGGCATCCGCATGTCCGCGACTGTCCGCAAACAGGAAAAGTAAACTAACACGATTATTGAAGTAACTAGAGAATACCCCGCGCGTTGCTGCGGAACCGATTGCAATATATTTCAGTGATTTAATTGTATGAAACTTCCATAGTTGAATTAATAACTAATTCCGCAAAAAATATGAACTAAAGCTAAAAATAAATAGTATATATTGTATTTGATTATTGTGTAGTCATAACTTGTTTTAATCTAAGTGCCATAACGTAACAAAAATAAATCATGCATTTTGAGTGGACCTTGGATGAGGTGGCATGTGTGGTGAGGTGAAAGGTGTGCATGAGATCAACTAATAATGGAATTTTTTTTCTCATGCATGTAGTGGTGGACCTTTGATGAGGTGGCATGTGTGCATGTTAAGATAAATAGGATAGTGGGGATCAACTTCTTATGTATATAGGATGAGGTTAGTGCAATTTTTGTTATGCGGACGGATGCGGACGGCGCGGACACTTCCGCCTGCATCCCTAGTCCCTACTGCAGGGTGCTCATGGTTGTTCTAAAAAATGCGATAGGTGCGTGCTAGTGTCTATTCCCTGCTGGTCGAATTTATTTTGTTTATTGCTCTGCTAAAAGTGAAATGCAGAATTTTGAAGTAAAACATAGGCCTTAGTTGGAAATAGCTCACCGATCTGCTACTAGATGCACTGCTTTACCATTTGTGTAATTTAGCTTTTAGAACTTACATGCACTACTATTTAACTTACATGAACGTACATGGTTGATATCAATATATCCATGATTCATATGATCTAGTATATGATCTAACATGCCATAACCTGAAACCTGAAATCGTTTGACAGTGTTCCCATATTTTGTAGTCAAATTTATTAATTTAATCTGTTATAACATTTGTGTTTGTCCTGTCATTATCAGGTCATCGGGGTAGAACCTGCTGAAACTAGTGTGATTTCTGGTGACAAGCCAGGTAAATTTCATAGCACATAGCAACTGGATGTATTTGAGAGATGAGCTTATTGAAGACAACTTCCTTGGAATTGACACATTAATGTCACAATAACAGGTTATATTCCAAGCATACTAGATGTGCAGCTCCTTGATGAGGTTGTGAAGGTCTGGAATGCAACTCTAGTAGTCTGTTTATGTTTGCACATTTAGTTGACTCTTCACAGTTCTTGTCAGCTATTATGTTGATCATGATTGTTGAACTTGCAGGTTACCACTGCGGAGGCAGTTGATGTTGCGAGGCTACTTGCACTAAAAGAGGGCTTGCTGGTAAGGAAGTGCACAACCAAATAAATTATAACCGAGTTTTTTTTTTCGAAACGGATATTATAACCGAGTTATCAGTTTGGCATTCACATGGGTTGTTTGTTTTGACAGGTTGGCATTTCGTCAGGTGCTGCAGCAATTGCTGCTATAAACGTGGCCAAAAGACCTGAAAATGCTGGAAAGCTGATTGCGGTGAGATATTTCCGTTGATTTGAACATGTTGCCGTTCTGGCATGGCTACTGGTTTATAGATGCCCTCATGTAACCCCCTCATCAGACGGTTAATCAGTGACATGAATTTGCAGGTTATCTTCCCCAGCTTTGGAGAAAGATATATCTCTAGCATTTTGTTCCGGCCGATATACAACTCCGTTCGAAGGATGAGGAAGAGATGACTAACTTCGCCCACTCCAAGAAAGCCGAATCCGACAGGCTTGCACAGCATGACAAACATAACACATCAAGCAGGGTTGAGGTGTAGAATGCTCCGGCAGAAGGGCACGGGTCGTAGAAGTTTGAAATATGGGCGGAGTTGCTGCCGAGTGGGCTGCAGGACTGCATGAACTTGGTTCCATAAAAACCCGAGGGAAGGGAAAATCATGAGTTGTTGTATACTGTATTATCTGCCTCAGACGTTTGGAACCCGGTGAAACATGCAGAGCTAGATGCGGTAGCTCGCTTAGGATCTTTGTTTGAATAGTCTAGGGTTGGAACAAAACAGAGATTTGTCATCTGATATTTGACTGATCTTACTAAATGGTCTCCTATTTTAGTTGGTGATTGGTTCGCTCAGATTATGCTCCTGGATTAGGTTTTTGGGTTCAGACCCAGCAGTACTGCAGATCGAAAGTCCAAATCGCTCATTCGTGGGACCCACTGGCAGGGACCGATTTGGCGGCGCGCGTCCTGATTTCTCTAGCTCGCCGAGGCGCCGCCGACGAAGGCCTGCAGCGAAGGCCCCGACGACGGCATAGCCTACCTACCTTTCTACACCCGCGCGGCGGCCTCTGTTGCTGCATCCGCTCCGCAACTCTCCAGCGGTAATTCGGTCGAGCCGAACATGTCGGCATCCGATCTGCCAGACGAGCTGTGGGCGCGCGTCCTGGAGCTCGGCGCCGCCTCCGCCGCGCTGGGGTTCCGCGACCTCTGCTGCCTCGCCATCGCCTCGCGCCGCCTCCGCCGCCTCTCCCTCCACCCGGCCCTCTGGTCGGGCCTCCTCTCCCGCGACTTCCCCTCCCAATCCCAGCCCTCATCCTTCCCCTCCTCCTCTTCGCAGCAGCAGCAGCCCGATCCCAAATCCCTCTACAGGACCAAGTGGTTTTCCGTCCCTGCCACTTCGTTCAGATTATTTATTTATTCCCCCCGTCAGAGCGCGTGACTTGTGCTCTGCTGCAGGTTCGAGAGGCACAAGCTGCGGATGGCGGAGGCGAGGCGGCGGGCCGTGTACGAGGCGGAGGGGAGGGTGGTGGCGTGCCGGAGGCGTCTCACGGAGCTGGAGGAGTCGATGTGCGCCGAGGGGGATAGGATCAAGGCCACCGCGCAGGAGCTGGACAGCCTCGAGAGGGTCAGGTCGGTTCTGGTTCCTCATCTGTGTTTCTTCTTCTGGAGTGAAATTCGCTCTTGATGCTATAAATCATATGCGACGTAGTAACCGAAAACAACAAATTACCTGACTAGCTAATGCAGAGGGTAGAAAGAAGCTAGGAATTATCTGAAGTTGGCACGCCGGGAATGACAATTATCCAATTATCCCCTAATATAATTAGTCCTGAACTGACCGTAGCACGTATAGGCAACAGTAGGTATTGCTCAAGACAGATGCTGGCATGATCCATTGAGCTACTTCTCTACACATAAGCTGGACTGAGATTGTCCCGCCCTTCCAATTTAAGGCCTCTTATACGCCACCCATTATCAAACAGCCCCTTGTACCCCTGTCTAGCAGCCAAGACTTGCTCTGAAGTCAGAGCAATTGCTTCCATGTTTATTTGAGCTGCTTATCTGTGCAAGAGCTGGTCCGACGTAGTCTCTTGGCTCAAACATTCAACAATAAACAGCTGCTTTTGCTGCCTTTGGACCTGAAAAGAGAAAATTATTTCACATCAATGCTCTATGGTTGTTATAACTTGGAACGATCCATTAAATTTAGAAGCATCTTTTTTATTTGGTTGTATGTATCAGGGTAAAAAACCACTGTTTACAATTTTAGTTGACGAAATCCAAGCAGTGCGCGGAACAGTTGTACTCCCTCCTTTCCTAAATATAAGTCTTTTTAGAGATTCCACTACAAATTACATACGGATGTATATAGACATATTTTAGAGTGTAGGTTCACTCATTTTGCTCCGTATGTAGTCCATAGTGGAATCTCTAGAAAGACTTATAATTAGGAACGGAGGAAGTACCTTATTTGGCAACATTCTGGCCTGTTGTGGTTGTGTATTAACATGAAAACAAAGTTAAATGATACCTATTATAAATAATGGGTAGTGTTGAGTTGTCACATTCTGCACATGTGTTATTGTTTCTGTTGTAACTTCACATCCTAGTCTTTAGGCCTTATCCTGAGCATGATCCAAGCATGCAGGATCCACGTCTCTCTCCCATGTATATGTACCATGGCACTCAGTGAATATAAGGTGTGCGTCAATCATTCTTCAACTTGGTAATTAGAACCATGTCAACCGGCCCCACTCACTCCTCCTTTGAGACCCTTCCTTTCCTGTCACCAGCGAGGGCAGCGAGCTTCCCGCCGCAGACCTTTCTGCTGGCGCTGCTGTGCGCCCTTGCGCTCCGGCTACCGAGGATCTTTCCCAGACGGTTGGTCTTCCACTTTCTGCCCTCCCCCCAGGCCGCCTCCTCTTCGGTCTCGCTCTTTGCTGCTGCCGACCCTTCCTCCTCCATCCCGTCCATCCACGGGCTGAACATCATTGGTGTTATTGACTTCACGTTGGCTCTTGACAACACCAATTTCTCTCGATGGCGTTCTTTCATCAACATGTTACTCAGCCGCTACCATGAACGCCACCACATCCAGGTGGGCGCTGTTGACCGGCTCTCTAATCCAATCTGGAGCGACGACGATGACACCATAGTGATGTGGTTCTTCACCACCATTTTCGGGGACCTCGACATCGTCGCCCCGGTTGACTCGGTGGCGTACACAATTTGGACTCTCCTCCATGAGTACTTCTTTGAAGCAGGAGTTACGGCCGACTGTCTGCGGCTATTTGTCCATCAACGAGTATTGTGGACGCCTATAAGGCATCTCTATGGCTCTTTCCGACATCCAGTCACCGGTCAGCTACTGCACACTTACATTGTAGATGCTTGACGGACTCGAAAAGAAATTCGAGATGCAGGCCGCGATTCTCCAATTGATCGTCCCCCTGCCTACCTTTGTTCAAGATTGTTCATGCCTTGTTCTAGCCGGAATCTCCATCAATAGGCACGCCCGTGCAGAGGGCTCACAGTTGCTTGCCGTCCACTCCGACAATGACCGCGGCGATCGTGACGCCGATTGTGGCGGTGCTCGATAGGGCGATCGGGCTCCCAACGGTGACGGTGGCCGTGGGCATGGTCACGGAGATGCTCCTGGTGGTCGCAGCGCTGGGCAGCAGCCCTCGCTCGGTTACTTTGCTCCTATAGGATGCCCTTCCCTCCACCCCGCACACCCTGGATGCGATCCAACTCTACTAGGGTCTTCGGTCCTCGACCTGGCGTCCAACACGCCTATCCGGTGATGTACCTGGTGCACCGGCTCTGCCTATGCTCGCTCCCTACAGGACCACGCCGCCATGTTCGATGTTGCACCAAGCCACGACTTGCCCTTTCCTCCTCAACCTGAGTGGTTCATGGACATGGGGGTGGCCTCACACGCCGGTAACAACCCAGGTATATTGACCTTGTCTTATTCCCCTTTAGCTCGTTCTGCTAGTCATATCGTTGTTGGCAAAACGCCTTCCAATCATTGGTACCGGCTCACCCCCCCGGTGACCGTTCCATCTCTCCCAATCTTGTCAAAAATTAGTTTACGCTCGCAAATTTACTCGTGACAATCGATGTTCAGTTGAGTTTCATCCTTTTGCCTTTTGCGTGATGGACCTACCAACCAGGGCAAATCTTCAATAGCCACAACGACTTATATTTCTTCTCCAACAATAATAACGGTGCATCATCATTAGCACTCACCGTTTCCTCGTAGGGCCTATGGCACCGATGGCTCGACCTTCTCGATTCTGCTACTATGGCTCATTTTGCTTCGGATTTTTATCTTGTAATAAGAACAATGCCCACCTCAGAAGGAAAATGAGCCATAGTAGCAGCGCTGGGATGGCCAAGTTGCCGATGCCATAGGTCTTGCGAGGAGACGGTGAGTGCTGTTGATGGTGCGCCGCCGTTATTGCTGAAGATTGGATATTGCACCTAACAAGAATTGCCCTGGTTGCTAGGTCCTTCTCACAAAAGCCAAAGGGATCAAACTCAATTGAACGTAGATTGTCATGAGTAAATTTGCGAACTAAAATTAGTTTTTTCACAAGACTGGGAAAGATGAGGATGGAAAGGGGTGGGGGGGGAGGCGCGCCCCATTGCCGACTGCGATATGACTAGCAGAGCGAGCTAAAGGAGAATAAGATGAGGTCAATATACCTGGGCTGCTGACGACGTGCGAGGCCGCCCCCTTGTCCATGGCTTGGTGCAGCATGGTGGCGTGGTCCCATCCGTAGGAAGCGGGCGTAGGTGGAGTTGATGCATCGCGGTACATCACCGGATAGGCATGGTGCTGGACGCTTGGGCGAGGACCCGACATAGTTGGGCAGTATCCATGGAGCATGGGGCGGAGGGAAGGGCATCCCCATATGAACAAAGTAGTCGAGCCAGGGTTGCTGCCCAGTGCCGCGATCACTGTGAGCACGACCACCGCCACCGTTGGGAGCTCGGTCGCCCTGCTACTTCGCTCCTATGGGATGCCCTCCACCTCGCGCACCCTGGATACCGCCCAACTCTGTTGGGGTCTTTGGTCCTCGCCCTGGCGTCCAACACCACGCCTATCTAGTGATGTACCCCGGTGCATGGCTCCGCCTACGCCCGCTCCCTATAGGACCACGTTGTCATATTCCATGTTGCACCAAGCCAAGCCACGGCTCGACCTTCCCTCCCAATCACGAGTGATTAATGGAAACGGGGGTGGGCTTGCATGTCGCCAACTACCCAGGTATATTGACCTCGTCTTATTCCCTTAGCTCATTCTACTAGTCATATTGTTGTCGGCAAAATGGCTTCCAGTCATTGCTACCGGCAATGCTCAACCCCTCCTTGACTGTTCCATCTCTCCCATATACCCATCTCTCCCAATCTTGTTAGAAACTTAGTTTATGTTCGCAAATTTACTGGTGAAGAACTATGTTCAGTTGAGTATGATCCTTTTGTCTTTTGTGTGATGGACCTAGCAACCAGGGCAATTCTTCTGAGGGGCAATAGCCACGGCGACTTGTAACCCTTCTCTAGCAAAAGCAAGACGCATCATCAGCAACACTCACCTTCTCCTCGTAGGACACCTATGGCTCATTTTCCCTTGGTGCCATAGGTCCTACGATGAGATGGTGAGTGCTGCTGATGGTGCGCCGTCGTTATTACTGAAGGGATACAGTCGCCGTGGATATTGCACCTCAGAAGAATTGCCCTGGTTGCTAGGTCCTTCTCGCAAAAGCCAAAAGGATCAAACTCAACTGAACGTATATTATCATGAGTAAATTTGCGAATAGAAATTATATTTTTGACAAGATTGGGAGAGATGAGGATGGAACAGTCAGGGAGGGGGGAAAGGTGTGCCCCATTGCCGACCGTGATATGACTAGCAAAGCGAGCTAAAGGGGAATAAGACGAGGTCAATATACCTGGGTTGTCCATGAACCACTCGGGTTGAGGAGGGAAGGCCGAGCCATGTCTTGGTGCAACATGGAACATGGCGGCATGGTCCCATCCATAGGGAGCAGGCATAAGTAGAACCGATGGATTGGGGTACACCGGATAGGCATGGTGTTGGACGCCTGGGCGAGGATCGAGGACCTGACAGAGTTAGGCGATGAATATGGAGCGCGGGGCGGAGGGAAGGGCATCCCCATATGAACGAAGCAACCGAGCCAGGGTTGCTGCCCAGCGCTGTGATCAGGGCCGCCGCCGCAGTTTGCACCGAGCTGGCAGCCACAGCTGCTGTTGGGAGGCCGGTCACCCTGCCGAGCACCACCACGATCGAGCCCTCCACATGGGTGCGCTTGTCGATGGAGATTTTGGCAATGATGAGGCATGAATGGGCTTGAGCGAAGGCAGGCAGATGAATGGGCTCGAGCATCCGCAGTGTAAGCGTGCGGCCGTTGACCGGCGACTGGACGTCAAAAAGAGCCGTGGTGATACCTTGTAGGCATCGGCAATACTCGTTAATGGACAAATCACAGTGGACAGTTGCCCAGAACTCCTGCTCGAGGTGCATGGTGAGGCTGGCGTCGTTGTCGAAGAAGTACTAGTACTCGTGGAGGTGACTCCAGATCGTGTACGCCGTCGACTCAGCCGGAGCGATGATGTCGAGGAGGTCCTCGACAATGGTGGCTAAGAGAACACATCACTATGGTGTTGTCGTCCTCACGCCAAACCGGATCGGAGAGTAGGTCAGCATCATCTACCTGGATGTGGCTGTGTAAATGGTAGCGGGTGAGCAACATGTTGATGAAGGAATGCTAGCGGGAGAAATTAATGTCGTCGAGAGCCAGCTTAAAGTCCGGTGATGTTTAGCCCGTGGATGGAAGGGATGGAGGAGGATGGACCCGCGGCAGCAGGGAGCGACGCAAGAGGAAGCGGTCTGGAGGGGTTTGGTCGGAGGGCGGAAAGTGGAAGACTAGCCGTCTGGGAAAGATCATTGGTAGCTGGAGCGAGAGGGCGAGCATTAGCATCACCAGCGGAAAGGTCCATGGCGGGGAGCTCGCCGTCCTCGCTGGTGACGGGAAGGGTCTCAGGGGAGTGAGTGGGACTGGTCGACATTGCTCTGATTACCAAGTTGAAGAATGATTCACGCACACCTTGTATTCCGTGAGTGCCATGGTACATATACATGGGAGAGAGACGTGGATCCTACATGCATGGACCACGCTATACATGGGAGAGAGACGTGGATCCTACATGCATGGATCACGCTCAGGGTAAGGCCTAAAGGCTAGGACGTGAAGTTACAACACATATACAGAACGTGACAACTCAACATTCAGCCCAATACAACCATATCTGACAAAAGTAGAACACCAAGAAACATGTAGATATTCAGTCCAATACAACCATATCTGACAAACTAGACTGCAGTGACCCCTTCACCAATTCTTACATGCATTTAGGTTTTTGTTAAACCTACCCCAACTTGTTTGGGACTAAAGGCTTTGTTGTTGCTCCTGTTGCTGCTGCTGTTGTTGTTTATTTAGGTTTTTGTTAAAGGTGTTGCTTCAGTGGCTCGAGCTGCCGTCCTGTCGTATGAAGGTGACAAGAAAAATACAAACTTGTGAAGCAGCTCATTAGGAATTTAGGATAATGGACAATGCTTATGAATGCAATCGTGTTTGTTTTAACTTTTAAGTATTGATGTCTTAACATACTTGTACAGAGTTAAGACAAGGTTTATTTATAGTTCAGCAGGCAATAAGCTATACAAAATACTCCATTATCTGCTCACCTGACAAAAACAAATAATCTCTGCAATCCTTCTCAGCCAGGGAAACTGCAGGTTTAGACATCAGTATAAGAATACATCTTTTTCGTGACTTATTCTGGTATGTTTCAGCACTCCTCATCAGTATATACTGATAGTCTAATTTATTGTTGTCGTGAGATGTTGACAGAAGAGCTTCGGTGGCATTAAACGTGTGGCAACCACAAGTTGTTCATGGGCGTCAGAAACAGTTGGTTCAGCAATGCACTGTTCCTGTTGATTCTCGTCTTAGTGCTCTACACATGGAGCTGAAAGTTTGTAAGCAACAAATAGCAACTTACAAGAATGCTTACGTATGTGATCTTTGATTTTGGTAAAATTGCAAATGGTTAACAAGGCTAGCCTCACTATAGTTGTGCTTTTGATGCTTTGCTAGAACAAGGAGAAGCTCAAGTTGAACGAGTACGAGGAAGCATTGAGACGAGCAAAATATCATCCTATGCAGAATTGTAGTGATACAAGCGCACCTGGAAATGAGCCACAAGCAAAGAGGAAGAGACTGAAGTAAAACCATTGTTCACCATCGGATCTTCATTTGCCTCAAGGTACCCCTAAATAGCTTTCCGTATCTCTTGATAGCCTCGGCCATATTATGTTTCCTTTTATGCCATTTCTTATTAGAATTTGCATTCGCATTCATCCTTGGCACATTTTGCTTTCAAGATAGAAGAGCATTGTGTCTCAACTTGCACATACATAGTTCATTATTAGCATAGCATGTTGGAATGGATAACCGGCAACGAGGAAGATATGCGGCCTTTCGGAACTATTCACAGTATCAGTTTTTTTCTTCAACCTTTTGTGCAGACAAAGGCATCCGCAGTGCAGCAAGTGCCAAGATATTCGTTTCGGGGAAAAGAGTCCAAATGCACTGTGGATTCTTCGTCGGTTCATTTGTTTGGGCATGTGTGCGCACATGATGTACGTGGCGTTGTTCCTTTCCAGCAGAATGAACGAATCAAGCTCAACTGATCCCTTCCAATTGCCGAAAGAATCTTATCCTTTTCTTTTGGCGGCGAAAAAGCAATTTTCCCACCAATTGCTGCCGAGAGAATGTTATTCTCATCGAATGTGTACCGTGCAGCCGCCAGCTACTCGTGTGGACGCCAGCTATTTTCAGAGCAGAATAGTCCGGCCCTGGTGCTTGGCCGTCACGAAGTTGTGGGCGGTCGACTTTTCTACAGCAGAAGGACGACTGGTCTGATTGGATTTCTTCAGCTGACCGTTGGTTTCTGGAGAGCGTACTGTATGAAACTGTTGGCTCGGTGCTCTTCATTTTGCCTTGCATTTCGGGTTTGGAGATGTTCTCATTCATTTGTATGCTAGTACTAAGCGGTCAACTAGCCTTAAAAGCATCCTCGTCCATGGCGAGTGATGAGCAGCCTCTGCAAACCTTTTGTGACTCTTAATTTGGATTCTTGACTTAAGATCGCTCATTCACTCGGTCTCGGTTTCGATATCATCTTAGAAGTTATTAGAATGTTTCAGTCAGTTGACCAAAGAGCTTCAATTAACTAGAAAAACAATAGATGTGCACGTACAACGTTCAACACATGTCCTCCTGCGAGGCGGCGGCGGCGAAGGGTCGCCGGTCGCGTGAGTCGGCGAAGCCGGCATAGCAAGCACCCGGCAGCGACGCCGAAGGCCACGGAGCAGGTACCTGTCAACAGGCACAGCAAGGCCGAAATAATCACTCGTCACGCATCAGACGTGACACCCCCAAAACGGGCCAGGAAAAGATCCCGATCGCAAAATAGCCGCGCCGATCGTACCCGCCGGCTCATCACTCTCCTGCCCGGTCCAAAACGGGACGAGTACGAGTACTCGTACGGGAACAGCCTCTCCCCCGCCCGCCCGCCACGGCAAATTTAACAAATTTGACCTATAGACGAAATCAAATCACAGAATGAACTGAGCGTGAAACTATTTCACACGGCTGACCCGTGGCGCCTAGTTCTCAGACGCTGCACTAGTGCAACGCCTGGGAGCTAGGCGTTGCACTAGTGCAACGCCCAGGAGCTAGGCGCTACACTGTACAGTATGGCGCCTAGCTTTCAGGCGCTGCACACTGACTTAGTAATTTTCTAAACACACGAGTGCGACGCTGGCCGTGTAGCGCCTATCTCTGAGGCGTTGCACAGTATAGTGTGGCGCCTTCGTGTCGGGCGTCACACAAAAAGGTCAGCCGCGTGAAATAGTTTCACGGATAGTTCATTCTATGATTTAATTTTGTCTATAGATTAAATTTGTCAAATTTGCCGCCCGCCACCCCCGTCTGAATTTTCCCCGGGCGCCCGGCCGACGTGGCGCGCCTTCCGTGCCGCACCTTCTTCCCGCCGCGCTGTACCTGTTGACCCGGCCACCCCCCGCTGCAGCCGGGCCCCGCGCGTTGGCGCCCAGCCTGTCACCCACTTCCATTTGCCCGTACCCAGGCCCCACCCGTCAGGCCGCACGGTATATAAACCCGGGGCCCGACCCGCTCCGCCCTCTCGCCGCACCAATAGCCAATCCACGCACACCCGCTCCCGTTCCGTAATCTCAGCCTCCGTCCTGATCCGATCCCCAAATCCCTCGCCTCGCCGCGCTCGCCGTCGACCTCGTTCTCTCCGGCACCAAATCCTACCTCCGGTGAGGCCGACCCACAAGCAGGGCGTGACAGCGCCCTCTCGTCGTATCTCCCGCCGCCCCTCCTCTCCGCCCGCCGTCGTCCCCGGTCGCCGGAACCCGACAAGTTGGATATCTAGGCGGCACCGCAGCGTTGCGGCGCCCACCGCGCGGACAGGATGTCTGCGGCGCCAGCCGCGTACCCCACCAGCCTCCGCGCCGTCGCGTCCGGGAACTCCGAGGCCTCCTTCTTCCCCTGCTCGCACCGCCTCAAGCTCTCCTCCTCGCATCGTTTTAGTAGTAGTAGTATTGGTAATCGTAGTAATTGCCTCTGACGTTTGCCTCCCCCTCGTTGCCCACGACCTTCGGTTCGATCTGCTCCTTGTGCTCGTCCTGAGGATTGTCTGGTTGTGAGGGCTCTGTGTTACATCTCTGCCTTTTGTGTTCGCGCGGGTTTGGTGTCTGTGTCTGTGTTCGATCACCAGGTCCGATCCAGAGCGATTTGGCCTGTTGGAGGTTGTGATTGCTGTCTCTCCGAGGAAAGAGGTATGGGAAAGTTTTGCCAGGTCATTTTTTCTATGTGTGAAAATATGCCAGTTTACCCTTCTGGTGGAATTGCAAATGCAATGAAATTGTGTACTCCCTCCGTCCGGAAATACTTGTCATCAAAATGAATAAAAGGGGATGTATCTAGATGTATTTTAGTTCTAGATACACTCCTTTTTGTCCATTTTGATGACAAGTTTTTCCGGACGGAGGGAGTACATATTAATGGTGGAATTACGTTCCTTTCGAATATTTGTTGTCTTATGCAGTTAGACTCTTTAATTATATCATGGAGTGAATGCCCTTAGGCTTTAAACATGTTTTGTGATTAGTTTCTTTATAAAATACTGCTACTCCTTCTGATCCATATTAGTTGTCACTCAAATGGATGTATCTAGCACTAAAATACATCTAGATACATCCGTTTCAGCTACAACTAATATGGATCGGAGGGAGTAGTAGATTTTTGGTTTACCTGTTTTGCTAGAAATGTTGCCTCAGATCGAATGAACTTAAATATGAGCAATATATGTGCACCTATTTCTATCATATGGTCTTATTAACTTTATCTAGTAAACTAGGGCGTGGTCCTTAAGAAGTCCTTTACTTGTTCTATTCTAATTTTTGTTTTTCCCTGCTAAGCAGGAAGTTCTCTTCTGAACTTCGGATTTAGCTTGTGGATGGGCGGACCTTTGGTAGACTGCAGTGCTGAAGGTGTGAGCAGCAGCTCATGTCTCAGCCGCAGCACCTGTGGAAAAGCAGGTTTTGAGCACAGCTCTTGTGCTCTCCCTGAAGATGAAAAGTTTGAAGCTGGAATAGCATGTGTGAAAGGTGATTTGGTTGTCAAGGAAATCAGTTTGGCTCTTGCTGAGGTGATGCGTGTCTATAATGACAATGATGATGAAGAGACAGATCTGAGTGAAGACTCTGACGAAAATGGGGATTCACTTTCTGTAGAATCAGATTCGGCTGATGATTTGGTTGATATTGACACTGAAGTGGTCACATCGTCAGCCTTCACTGCTGGGAATGCGTCTGAATCATCAACTGGAAATTCAGAGAATGGAAATTCCTCAACCACTGTGAGTATTTGATTGCAGTACACGCATGGACTCTTCCTAATCTGTCTTATCTTGCCAATCGCTATGCGGCTCTTCATATAAAAATGTGCTATAAGTGTTGGATGCTTAGTTTTTGACATATTGACTCTTGCTTCTTAGAACATATTATTACCTGTCATTTAGAATTTTGGGTAGCTAAATGTAATTCTGCTCTTATGATTTGCTGCTCCTTCTTATACCTGTTAGGAGGTATCATATCTTGTCATTGTACGGGTAAATTGATTGTGTTGATACGATCTCGTCATCTTTGATAATTGTTTGAATTGACCCGAGAATGATGTTATTTTTTCTACTCTTATTTCTTAATATTTTTTTCATTTATTATTGTCTGACTGTTGCTCTGAATTCTGAAAATGAGTATGACCTCAGTGTTATTGCTTGTGCTAAATGTTCTGTTCTCTACTTGGATGGTGATGTGTTAAATGTTCTGTATATGCAGGGGACTCAACTGTTGGTTTCCGCAATGAAAGGAAGCCGTGCAAAGCGGGGAATTGTGACAAAGTTGAGTGTTTCATGGGCCCCTGACGTATATGATCCTCCTGTTACTTCTGACTCACACACAGTGAAGCCGCACCAGAGAAGTTCAAGGAAGAGCCACTACAAATACAAGCCCCCAAAGGGCGGCAGCGGCAGCAGCAGCCGCAGCAGCAGTGGCAGCAAAAAGGAAAAGAAGCATTCTCACCACAGCAGCAGCAGCAGCAGCAAGAGAGATAAGAAACCTTCCTACCGCAGTAGCAATGGCGGCAGCAGCAGAACCGACACTAGTGATCCTCAACATCGGAAGGCATATGGCAGCAGCATTACCAGCAGAACTGACACTAGTGTTCCTGAATATCACAAGTTGTCGCCGTGGCAGCCACTGGCTAGTGCCGCCGTGGAAGAAGCCATGCCCCCCGTACCTGTACTGAAGGCCATGGAACAGATCAAACGCAGTTCCAGCTGCTGCAAGGAGCCGCCGATAAGCATGAAGGCCATGGAACAGATCAAGCGTAGCTCCAGCTGCTGCAAGGAGCCGCCGATAAGCATGCTATCACGCCAATTCGTGGCTGCCAAGTACAAAGGGATGTTTTCCTTCTTGAGTCAGAACCAACTTGCTTCTTGAGCATATCGCGGAGACTCCTGCGCTATTCACTGCCGTGCTTTTGGTTATCAGCAAGGCTTTCATGTTGGATGGTGTTTGATCTATGAACTTTTGTTTGGACATCAGTGGGCATGGTTTTGAAAATTCTTTGGTTGACGTATGCACGATCGTTGAGATTATTAACTGTCTTTCCTTATTATTAAAATAAAAAACTGTTTTGCTCATTTATTTATGTAATATATAAGCATGTTATGTGTGTAATTTGAGTAATAAGCATGTTATGCGTGTGCATTCTGTTTTATGTTTTGAGTTTGGGTATTATTACATCAGTTAAGCTGATTCCTTCATGCCCCGCCAAAAAAAACTGATTCCTTCATGGATCAGACAATGACTTTAGTAAAGTAACACATGGAGGGATGTAACAAATGGTAACAATGTATCTGTGGATGTAACCACTTCCCCAGTGTAAAATGAAATACACAACATTTCAGTATTCTTAGCTTCGGTTCTCGTCTGCTCTTTTGCTGCGCCAAGCTGCCATCTCTGACTGTCTCCATGGACACGAAAAGCTCAATCGTGCCGTCAAAGCCAAGCAATATGGTTATGAACTTACGATCGTTGCTTCCAGTTCCGGTCAACAGCCGGCACGAGAGCTTTGGATCACGACATGTTCCTCCACCACCTTTGCCTGGCAAACACGACAGACCACGACGACATGCTCCTCAGCCACCTTTGCCTGGCAAACACGACATGTTCCACCGGTATGCCGACCTTGGGTAGCCTGAACAAGCCCGCTCTTGCACAGTGTTGGACCTTTGGGACCCTGTTGCCTGCTGGGGCTGGGAGCACACCATGTGGATTGTGGAGGTGTAGGACTGAGCATCACGGTGCCCCTGAAGTGGCCATATTGGCATAAAGAAACAAGTAAACATTAATCAATCTTTTAGGTGCATGTGCATCCAATGATAGTTCCAACTTTGACTTATAAATGGTGTAATGAGTAACGCAACCGGCCTTTATTAACGCAATGGACAGAGACATTTAAACAAGCCATGACAGCAATGCCGTCGCCTTCTCTTTCTCTTTACAACATCCAGTCTATCACTAATGTAGCTTGTTTTGTAGTTAGACAATACAATGCACTAGCACTGGAGATACAGACGACGGGACGCAACATCGCATTCTGGTAAGAAGAAGAGTACCTCGATGAATGTAAAAAATGTTTAGTAACAATGGAACCCCCGTAATCTGCGCAAGTCCCTTTCATCACTCCTGGAATAATTTTCCTTTCAAGGCATCACATCTCCAGGGCCTTGTATAATCAGATATATGTAATGAGTGATGGTTCACACCATGAAACCAAGGAGATAAGATTGGTGCTGAGGGAGCTGATCGGGTGCTACGGTCTGGCCGTAAGCCTGATGTTGGTGAAGAGGAGATGGTGAGCATAGTGAAAGAACTTGAGATTTTGCCCAGATTGCCATGAAGTGGCAAAAATAATAAGTAAACAAGTAAACATTTAAATTGGCCAACATGTATAGATTGTGTAATGAGCAACGCAACCAATCTTTGATAATGCATGGACAGAGACGTTTAAAAAAAGCTATGACAGCAATGCAGTCGCCATCTCTTTCTCTTTTAGGTTGATACAACATGCACGCTATCACTAATGTAAGCTTGTTTTCTGGTTAGATAACACTAGGCATTCACACCGGAGATACAAACGACAGGACAAAACAGCGAATTCTGGTAAGGAAAAAGGAGTACCTCGATGATGTAAAATTTATTTCAGTAACATTGGAACCCCCATGATCTGCACAAGTCCCTTTCATCAATTCTCGAACAATTTTCCTTTTAAGGCATCACATCTCCCGGGCTTTGGATAATCAGATATAAGTGATTCAATGCGTTACGCAATCACCAAAAGTCCTTGCAAGAACAACTTCCTCCAATAAATCTATGGAAACGAACACGGTCCCTGACAATGATTTCTCGGCCATATGATTTACTTATTATTTTTGACACTTCATGGCAATCCGGACAAAATCTCAAGTTCTTTACCACCCGAATGACATGAGGTGCTTTTGTCTTCAGCAACCCATATGCGATGGCTAACCTTTCACTATGCTCACAAAGTGCAATTTCTTTTTCCTCTTCACCAACATCATGTAGAACGGCCGCAGTCCAAGGCTTATGGCCAGATCGTAGAACCCGGTCAGCTATTTCCCTCAATACCACTCTTATCTCCTTGATTTCAGGGTGTGAACCATCACTCACCACAAATTTGTGCAGATAGCTATTTATTTCAATTGAACTACAGCCAGCAACGACAGTAACATTGTTGTCCTTCATCTTTTTCCTCATATACCTCACTCTGTCCCACTGGGAGTTCAACGCATACAAATTGGAGAGGAGAACATAGTTCTCTGGATTCTGAGGTTCCAACTCAAAGAGCTTTTTAGAAGCCAATCCTACTATATCAGTTCTGTTCGAACTTTTACTCGCCACAAGAAGATTCCTCCAAATTACTGAATTTGGTAAGATGGGCATGCTTGTAACAAATGAATAAGCTTCATCCAAAAGGCCAGAACGGCAGAGAAGGTCAACCATGCAACCATAGTTCTCCATTGAAGCTTTAATTCCCATTTCTTGCATAGTAGACCAATATCGCTGCCCATCATCAACTAACCCATTGTGAGCACAGGCTGACAACACACCTATAAAGGTGACATTATTGGGTCTAATCTGAAATATAAACATGAGAATTTAGGAAATAGCTATTATAGTGGTTTGCAAAGACTGAGTGCTATGATGATTTCTTGCGAAATGAAGTTGAGCATGCAAGCTGATAAGCAAAGAAGGATTGTGGTATTCTTCCCCTAAAAGGTGCACATCCATCGATCCCCTCATCTAGTGTAGTGCTCTGTTCAGAGACCAAGGAAGCTATTAGTTTAAGTTCAGAGTTCCTGTACAGAGCAGCAGCCTAAGGATAAGCAGTAATTCAGGTTAGATTTTCTGTTTTCCGAATCTTACCCACCTGAGAGTCCTAGTCTCGAAAGTGCGCCTTGGCCATCCAGCCTTATCGAAGAATTGATTCAAAAGTTGTGAGCCGATAGAAGGGAGAGATAGCAGGTTTCAGAAAGGAAATATTCCAATGGTTAGATTACCTCCATCTCAGTCAACGATGGGGATTTGTGAAGGTATCAAACTTAAGCTATCTATAAAATGACAATTTTTGATGTAGCTTCACGTCTACCTATACCCGAACTAGTGACGATACCAAATGGTCAATGCCTACCTCAAAGGTTTGGATCTATAGAGTTATGAATTGCCTACGGTGAGTGTTCCTTCTGCCCCAATGGTCTACCAAAATAGAAATGCCTTTCATAAGATGATGAAATCGTTTTTCTACCTTCTGCCTCTGAGGTTCACCTTCTCTTCCAGCATTCTTTAAACATGACAATCAAACTATTACATATGGAGGACAAGTCAAAAGTAGATTCATTCCATCGTCAAAACTAGACCAGTAAACAATTGCATCGAAAGTCAAGTATTGGGAAAGGTACAAGGTGTTTTGGCCACCCCACAATTCAAGAGAAGAGTACCGACTGGATCAAGAAGAAAATCCCTGTCCCTATCCTTTTATCCAACTTGAATGATTAAAGTGAAAGTAGTGGCATCGTATTACTCTAAAAGATAAGTTGTGTTGAAGCCAATCAAAAGCCGAACTGCAGTTGCCCTTTCATTCACCTCGAATTTTGGCTTGCTCTTAGGGTGGACCACATTAGAGGTATTGGAACTACGTTTCGCGCATCCTATTTTCTTAGGAAATACTACGATTCAGTAGCTATAAATAGAAAGCAGAACCTCCTAATGTCTGTACATAGAAAGAAGGAGACCCAGGACCGGTTCATAGAATGTGCTAACTCCATGCGTAGCGTAGGAGATAGATGGAGGAAAAGACGTCACAGGAAGGATCCAATATATCCAGATAGGCAAGAAAAGACACTTCTCTCGATCGGTCTCCGCCCTCCCATACCTCCTAAAACAACGGTAGTTTGCTTCTTTTCGTTCAATTGTACCTGGCCCAAGCGCTTATCTATTCAGTACTTTCAAGTACCACGCAACAACTTTCGAGTAAGAAAGCAATTTGACATTATGATCTCCGAGAAGAGGTTTGTATTATAGTAGGTTTGTTTTAGGTCCCATCCTTTTTTCCGAGATTTTTTTTTTCATTTTCCCATCGGCCTAGAATTACCTTTCCTTCTCCTTTTGATTTTTGTATTATTATAACTTCGATTTCTTACTCGAAAGTTGTTTTCCGAAAATCAAGGAGAAGGAAAGGCAATTCTAGGCCGATGGGAAAATGGAAGTAGAATTTTCCAAGAAAAGGATGGAACCTAGAAATGGAAAACAAACCTACTATAATACGAACCCTCTTCTCGGGGATCATAATATCAAGTTGCTTTATTACTCGAAAGCTGTTGCGCGGTACTCAGAAGTACTAAATAGATAGGCGCTTGGGCCACGTACAATCGAACGAAAAAAGCAAACTACCGTTGTTTTAGGAGGTATGGGAGGGTAGGACGAATCAAGAGAAGTGTTTTTTCTCGGCTATCCGGATTTATTGGATCATTCCTTCCTGTGACGCCTTTTCCTTCATCCATCTCCTATGCTACGCATGGAGTTAGCACATTCAATGACTCGGTCCTGGGAGTCCTTCTTTCTATGTATAGACATAAGGAGGTTCTGCTTTCTATTTATAGCTACTGGATCATAGTATTTCCTAAGAAAAAAGGATACGCGAAACGTAGTTCCAATACCTCTGATGTGGTCCACTCTAAGAGCAAGCCAAAATTCTAGGTGAATGAAAGAGCAAGTGCAGTTCAGCCTTTGATTGATTTCAACACAACTTACCCTTTAGAGTAATGCGATGCCACTACTTTCACTTTAATCATTCAATTTGGATAAAAAGATAGGAACATGGATTTTCTTCTTGATCCAATCGGTACTCTTCTCTT